TCACAAACATCTGATATGAAAAAATCGCGAAAAAAACTATGATTTTTGAAAACAGGGATCTTATATTTCCCCTGCGCCACACACTGCAAGAGCTAGGTGGCGCGCTTAACCGTGGATTAATTAATAATACAAAGAAATCAGTCTCCACTGTGCTCGGCTAGAAATGGTTCGGTTAAGCTTTTGTTTATGTAAAATTTCGGCTCTTTCATCAGCGTTTTGTTTATGTCACCAATTCCTTAATCGCTTAATTATTTAATTAATAACTACAGTAATACCCCGAACTTACGCGATAGGTGGGACCGAGCGATAACCGCGTAAGTCGAATTCGCATAAGTCGGGGTATATTTTCGCAATTTGTGTAAAATCCAAATGTGATGTATGTAAGCTAATAAATGTTCTCGTTAACCTTATTTCGCCTTTTGATTCGTTCACGGTTACAAGAAATCACCACATAGAGTCTCTCGAGTATCCGTAGATATAACAAACAGAAATAAATAACGCAAAATAAATTGTGGCTATGTGTCGATTCCGCGCGGCACGTCCGAACATGTAAGCTAAACAATAGTGTGGGGGGAATGAGTAATAAAGAGTTGCGTGACATTCAAACAAAAGACGAATCGACGAGATTTGAAAATCGCGTAAGTCGGGGTAACGTACGTCGAGGTATTACTATACTGTACTTCTTAAGTAGAAATAAGTCGAAACCAATTACTTTGTACTCGAATATTTATAGTCTCAGAAAAAAGTGGAAAGACAAATTTTTATGACAAACGGATACATAAATCGTAAATTTAAGGAAAATAAATTCTAGAGCTTTTTCTGTACCTCGTGCATCTCTCTCGTTCATTAAATTTAGTTGTAAATGACGCTGTCCAAGTAACGGTTAATTTTTTAACATTATACAAGAATTGTACACGTTTTTTTTCTGCATTCCCTTAAAGATGGGATATACGAAATCGTAATATCACTTGTTTAACATTGAAATCCGTAATATAAAATCGGAGAGCGGAATAAAAATATCAAATATTTTAATGAAATTTTTAACTCCTGTCAAATATACAGAACTATCGTAAAAACATACCAGTAAATTCTTATTGGTTGGGTTAAGTTATAAATCTACTCACGATTCGCGTAATCAGGCGAGGCCGGCCAAATATCTAGCGGGCAGGCGGCTAACAGCCCAGAACCGGTCCTGGATAGAATTGGATGCGGTATACGTGTAGCATCCACCCGAGGTCCTAAGCTCCCACCGGCTAAACCGGATGAGGTTGGCGCTTTATAAAGCGCATGCGCGAATCTGGCTTTTTGGATGCTAACGATCGGCGCTTCCACTCCGTCACTAATATTCGAATATACAATAGCGATCTTATTTTTTTTCACGTCTAGTATAAAAATTTGTAATAAGATACATAATGTGGCTATAATAAAATATTGTGCGATTATTTTCATATAATTAAAATTAATATGTATTTATTTTTTAGAAAATACAAGGGAAGCGGCGCATCCACCGCTTCCAATGACGGCACGCAACTGCGGGAAACACTGCACTAGAGCATCGATTATCCGAAACAATTCGAGACTGGGGTTGTTCGGATAATTGATTAATTACCAAAAATTATATTAAACACAAAACTGTACTGTATATAATTTGTATCATACGTCTTACAAATACATACCTTACATAATGTAATACAGCGCTGTCCAACTTTTCATAGCCCGCGGGCCATATTTTCTTCACCAAACATTTCGGGGGCCAAGAAGGTTGCTGCTGTATTCAGCCAGGTTAAGTGAAGTTACGCAAACTAAATAGTATCTACTTTAAATTCAAATTAGATTTAAATTTTCACATAGTAAAATAATTTTAATATTAATAATAATAATTTAGTAACATAAATTTATTCATAGTAAAATGTACTCGGGCCGTAAAAATTATTTGGCGGGCCGTATACAGCCCGCGGGCCGCAAGTTGGACAGCCCTGATGTAATACATTAAACTAGGCCTACAGTTAGGTTTGGCAGGGAGGGGAAGAGTGCTGCAACGCCACAGCCGTAGCGGAAATTTAAATTTGCCGACCGGAACGCTTTCGGTTAACCGATGTTTCGATGCTCTACCGCAGGGATTCTTAACTTTTTTTATTCACGACCCCCTTTATGATTGCGAGTTTTTTCGCGACCCCCACCCCCCAAAAATATAAAGATATATACAAATTTGCAGAAACAATAATGGTGTACTACCACAGTTCACTCTTGTGTTACAATGGAACAAAAACAACTGAATACACTGAAAAGCGACAATACTACACTAGTTCACACTATAATCAGTGTTGCTGAATCGTTGTCTCGCTGCACAGAGCGTGCCATTTTCAAACTCTCACAAATTATTTTCAAGATTTTGCATTAAAATCTCGCGACCCCAAGATTTCGCTAAGCGATCCCAAATGGGGTCGCGACCCATAGTTTAAGAAGCCATGCTCTACCGTATTTAAATTATATCCTTTTTAAAAAGAAATATATTTAGCTTTTGTTAAGTTTTGGCAATAGATGGCGCGACTTGTAAATCAGCAAATTGAACGTAGGTAGAAATTTACAGAAATTCAATATTTTAAGATGGGATGTATGACATTATCTAAATTAGATGTAAACGTAAGGGCCGAGTTTCGAAGAAATTGGTTGAACGGCCTATGAATGTATAGCGAACAAACATTCTCATTTATAATATATTATAAATAAATTATAATATATATTAGCATATGAGCACGGCGTTGCTCGGGAGAAAAAAATAACAAACATTACAGTATTAGGTTCCTTCGTAATTCTAACCCTTTTATTATATTATATAGTAGTATTTCATTTATATAACTACGAATGTTATCTTATGTAAAGGTTTAAAACACAAAGTGCATAACGTCACACATTCCACTTAAATCACATTTTGTGCAGGCTGGTAACCATGTATTTTGAATTTTCCAATTTCATGCCACCATACCGCTGGTCCGATAAGAACCAACGGTATGGTGGCATGAAATCGAAGGGACCGTTGCAGATGGGGTTGAAGTAATTCGAGCAAAAGTAGTGGTTGAAAACACTGACTAAAAGTTGCAGGCCGGCATTGTGACTGTAAGTTCGTCGACTTTGGGGGCAATACGTCAATTGCGCGTCAGGAAAACCTAGGGTCAAACCGTATGTGGGTGGTGGCGGTAGGAGACAAAGATGACAAGTGTCCTACACGAAAACCGTTTATTTTGACATAAGGTTAACTCACATAATGACAATAACAATGCGATCTAGATCGGCTTTGGTGGGAGCTCCTTGATGTCAACGAACGGGCGCTGACTGGTGTTCCGGGCTTGACAGGAGAGTGTCCGTTGCACAGGTGCCTCTGTCCGGTGATGTTGCGGATGCATGGAGATTTTGGTCACTGGTGGAGAACCTGTTCCGAGTGGAGAACTGCGGAGAATCGGCTGGGAATTTCTCTTCGGAGAGAAGCGGCTGAGAATCTCCCTCCTGTCCTTGAGATTCGGGGGTTTTATAAGATTTTCTCCGAATCTCACCCTTTTGATTGGTCCCGTTCACCCTCTCCCTTACCCCGATTTGTCACTCCCTTGTTTCTAGGCGAAACTTGAGACCGATCCGGGTCGGGAAAAGGTCGGAGAGGTGATGACGGAGCTTTTAATGTTTGCGCTCGTCGACCGGACACTTGTTCGCGAGCATCTCAACAAAGCTCTTTCTGTCGATATTTCCCCCTGTTGTTTATCATCGCGTCGCGTTTGTTTTACGATTCGAAAAAGTTTTCGTCCCATCTGGGTTCTGTCATTAACACACCCTCTAGACCTGATTCTATCTTCGAAACTCTCTGACGTTAAAGTTTGTAATTAGTCGAAATTTCGACGCACTTTTACGACCCTCACATGACGATGTCATAAATAATCGCTGTATTGAATTAGTTTCGTTACTGAATGTGAGCAATCTGCTGGGGATGCATCCGAAGAAGACTTTTATGGGATGCTGGACGGTATTTACTTGAAGAAAACTCCACGTGACCAGCCGTTTGACTGCTCGAATCCCTGACTAACTTCCAATGTTCCGTGGTTTAATCCACTTAGTTACTGGAGGGTATTTATTAGAATTAAGAACCGTTAGGACGTGAAAAAGCCAGTTGTTAGATGTGGAAATTAAAGATTTTTCACGGGGTAACACTTTCGATTGCACGCAGGCAAGTGCTATATGCTGCCTGTCACAGTAATTAAGCGAATATAATTAATACATACTGCACATACATATACTGTATATCTATCCTTTTAAGAATTGTTTAATTTTTGCCAATAGATGGCGGTACGTGTAAACCAGCAAATCCAAGGTCAATACGTACTCAAAACGTTATTGTGTTGCACCTAATTGTAAAAGTAAGTCTACCGANAATAAAATATTGTGCGATTATTTTCATATAATTAAAATTAATATTTATTTATTTTTTTAGAAAATACGAGGGAAGCGGCGCTTCCACCGCTTCTAATGACAGCACGCCACTGATTAACTTACATACATTCAACTTGGATTTTACACAAATTGCAAAATTATACCCCGATTTACGCGGTTATCGCTCGGTCCTACCGATCGCGTAAGTTCGGGGTATTACTGTATCTGCATACAGAATATTGAGAGAGGAACGATTTCACCGAAAAAGGGAAAAGGTCGGCGGTGGACGATTCACTGCCGAAGAAAAAAACCAACATTTAAAACAACGTTGTTTAATATTTTGCCCAAAAACCGGCGTTATCGATCACCATTTTAATTCTGGGCATGTTGGGCATGATATTTACCAGCTGCTAACATATGTTGCTGTTGTTGAATCTTTCCTATCTCTCGCAAAGGGCTTCCCAGATTTCATCCGGTGTGGAGGCATTAAATGGCTCTCTTACCATCTCCGCCCACAGATATTCTATGGGGTTTAGATCATCTCCCCTTCCTAGCCAGTTAATGACGTCACTGTTGATTTGACATTCTAGCCAGTTTCTAGTTAATCTGGCTGTGTGAATCGAGGAGCGATCATGGATGAACGGGACCTTTATACTGTAGATGGATTTTTCCCTTTAAAGGGAAAAATCGTCCTCTAGGATATTTACGTATTGGGCGGCTGTCAGGTTTCCATTTATTCGCACCAGGGCACCGGGACCGGGTGCAGTCATCCATGCCCATACTCCTGCAAAACAAAAGAAAGAAAGAAAAACTTAAAAGCACGAGAATATGCATATAATTATAAATATCAGCAGCGCAATTTAGTTTTAATGCTTATGTTATTGCATTGGTTATACGCTATACTTATTTCTAGCATATTTTATAATTGCTTTCATTTGAACTACTTGTACACAGGTTATATTAAACTATTGAAAACAATCTGATGATGTTTAAATATTAAGAAGATAATTAAGATAATAAGTATATTTGTATTTTCGTAATACTGTAAGACAATTATCAATTAATTATGACCAATACCTCACACATTATTATCGACTTTTCAGAATACTCTTATCTTTGTAGAGATTTGCTATAGTATCCCATGCTTCCTTGGCACTTGTACGATGTTGGATATCGACTTTAACGTGGTCCCCAACTGTCAGGGCTATCGTTCCTAACGCCCTTCGATCAAAACGTTTTTCCTTTGCCGTCGGATCTCGATCTGTTAACGGCGTCTCGATCGTTGCCCACAGATCTTCCTTCATCAACAGCATTTTTACGTAGAATTTCCATGATGATAAATTGAATGAACCATCCAGTTTTTGGAAATTGACGAACCCTTCCTTTGTGAAAGTATCGCCATGTAAATTTTCCATCTCACACGTTGTCTTTCAGATATTCCCACCAAACATCCAGTATTACACCGAACAAAAATTATAGAGACATTAGTGGGTTACTAGGCCCATAAACTTTTGGCACATGACAGCCACATACCCTAACAATTCCAGAGTTCTAAGCTCGTATGAAACACTTTAAGACACGTTTAGAAGGAAGGTAAACAAACGCCAGTGAGGGGCCGAGCATCGGCATGGAACGGAAAAGATTATAGATCGAGTTTGTCCTTTAGTAATGTCATGTAATATAAGTAAAAATAACTATTTCATTACATCATTATTTCATACAAATAAAGTAAATTCTTTAAATTAATAATATTTTGTTAAACGGAGGGCATTGGCCATAATAAACAACACACCAGATGCTAGGATAATTAAAACTTATATCTAAATTAATCATAATTTGGCAAAAATTATCCGTCTAATAAGTGGAACTTGATGTCGACAGTGTAGATTATTGCAAACCGAGTAAAAACCGATTGGACACGAAGCGTAGGAGTAGGACTGCTTCAAATCCTGCCAAGATTTCTTGACACGGGTAAATATCGGTTCAATATATATTCAAAGTAAGAATTATTATATCAGTAAGAAAAGCAAAAATATAGAACCTTATCTACTGAGAAACTTCTGCTTCTTTGCCTTGGGCATACGTATTTACTATTGTGCCTTTCACCTCGGAGCCGATGAACCCAAACAACTCCAGTTGTATCGCTAGAAAATTTTTTTTTCCATCAGAAACCTGATGTTTTGCCATTCGTCAGTCCAATGACGGTATTGGTAGGCAAAGCCTAAACGGCCAATCAGAATTCACATTCGTTAAATTTTGCTTCTGGGCAGCCCTTCTCCCCCTGAAGATTAAACTCCCTTAGTCTAATAATAGAAATAAAACTTTATTAAGAATATTTTATTATAAGTTCATTACATTTATATGAATGCATCTTTTTAATGTCTAGGTATTATACTCAAATGCTATATACCTCCGCTTAACCGTATTTATAGAAACAGGTAAAGCTAATTCTGATTGAAGTATCCTTACAGACAAACGTATTATCTTCGCAACGCTGTTTATATATTGATCCTCTTCGGTAGTGAATCGCCTTTTGTGTGAAAGTAGTGAAAGACCTTTCGCCTTTTTCGGTGAAACCGTTTCTCTTTCAATATTCTGTTTACAGATTTTAATCACTGTTCTTAAACTAATTTTAAACATTTTTGCTACATCTTTGACTGTTGCACCTTCTCTGTGCTTAATTTTCGAATGTCCTTTGAGGTTGCTCGACACATTTTTCTAATTTATAACTAGTCGAATATCACAACAAAAAAACTTTAATCACAGTTGATCGTATAAGGTAGAAACTCAATCCTATGCATTAACAAGACTTTTGTCCTTCCTTGCCCACTTTTAAACTCCACATCTCTTCTCTCCACTAGCTCTACTGTACTCCCACCTCTACTCTAACTCTCCTGCCACACTCCTCCCTCTCTCGTTTCTCCCACCTTTTTTCTCCCCTTTTTATGGCTCTTTATCTATCACGTGCTTGAAGAGTTTGGAGTAACTCACTCCTGTGTGAAGCATTAAAAAATAGTCATTTCACAAGAAAAGAGAAAATTTTCAAATATTATGCTCAAGCAGGCTAGTTATTGAGCAAGCATTTGGTCACTTATTTAGGCAATTTCAACAACTGAATCATTTGTTTATATTTTGGGTTGATTGAATCCCCTGTTATTATTACAGATTGCATTTTACACAACTTATGTATATTAGAAAATTATGAGTATTTAAATGCTTTCAATGATTCTGCATCATCTTGGAATGCAGTTGTGTCTGAAACTTTTCCAAGACCAGAAGATAACACAGAAGATACTGTGTAAAAAAGAATTTTATGCTAAAAGAATGCTAAAAGATTGTTTTACTGGCAAACTGTTGACTTTTTACTGTAAGCATTAACAGATTTTGTTGAGGTCTTCCTCTATTCAACTTAACTTTGTTATGGCTACTATTAAGGAAAGCTCCTTGATTTTTACTTATAATCAAAGGAAGAAAAACTTTTTATAATAATTTTCTCTTTTACCAATATAGCTACAAATTTGGCTATTAATTAACTTATAAATACCAAAATCAAAAATGTGACCAGATTAGAAACTATACATTGGAGTAAGTTAATTTTAAAAACTTCCAATCTGGTCATCTTTTTAATTGTGATGTGACAAGTCCTGATTAATAGCCAAATCAGTAGCTGTGCTGACAGAAGAGAAAAATATATAATCCTTGAATTTTAAGTTGACATCACGGCTGTGGAGTCGCGTAAAAATCTACCGACTCCAACTCTGACTTTTTCTTACCATCCGACTCTGTTTCATATACTTAACAAGTTGGTAAGTAAAAAGAGAGTCGGAGTCGGCGGATTTTCTGACGACTCTGACTCCGGCCGAAACACCACGACTCCGACTCCACAGCCCTGGTTGACATAGCAACTTATCATAGCAAAATTGGACCATCAATGATAATCAGATATTCTACTTGCAATTATGTCATTTGGCTGATATCATGTGTTAGAACTGCTATGTAATTAACATGTAGGAAGGTATTGTAATAAAATAAAATTTGTTCAAGCTAGAGGTCTTGTATAACTAGAGTAATAGTAATGAAAGTGACTAATTGTAATCTCTGTCCACTTACTCTAAGTTTGTGAAACATGAACACTACAGTAATAAAATTTAGTAGTAATTCAAACACAAATAATTATCGTATTTATCTTCAGGCACTTGGCAATACTTATCATCAAGTTTTATTCAACTGAATAAAACTTGATGATGAGTATTGCCAAGTGCCTNGTTAGGAAATTCCTTAATACAGACACTGACACTGACACACACATTTAATTTTAGTTTTGTTTTGGTTGCTATGCCTTGACTCTGGTCCAGCATAGTACACAGCCATCGGTGTGTACCGAGTATAACCCACTAAACCCAACACATAATAATAATAATCAGTGCAGAGCCCAAACGATTAGGAGTTGAAAGTTGGTACACAGTTAGGGTACATCACGAGAATGCACACTAAGAAGGAATTTTTCGAAATTCCTCCCCACGGGGGAGACGGACAGAATTAAGGCTTAACACTTCCATTAACAATGAAATGTTACATAACAATGGAATTGTTAAGAGAAAGCGACGTGCAAAATGCAGATGCAGTGTTTTTCATTTTTCAGGAAATCGAACATATTTTTAGACCCATATAAAAATTCTCTAATTAGCCTGGAAACAAGAGGACCCAATTCTTGCATTCTGTGAAAACGGGAAAGGTTGACTATAACATAATAATCTTAATCTTCGCTATCATTACTTTTGCCAGAGTAACACCAGGCCTACCTGCTAGTATAATTATAATATGTCACTCACACACAGCAGGTGTGTATGTGTTGTGTCATATAATATTATGCATGTGATAATTTCCAAAAACTATTAATTAATTATTATTATTCAGGCTAATAATTAATAATTACATTATGGGTATCTCTTTATAATCAAATGTTTACAGTTATACTTTTCATGTAGACAACACTTTTTTCCTGTACTTTTTATCAAAATAAAGATATTGTCTGTGAATCTTTGCGATGTTGGAAAAGCATTGAGTTAATCTTAAACTAAACTTAATGCACAAACTTAAAAGCGTACAGAATATGAACCAAAATAAAAAAATTGAATATGCTTGTTAAATTTCTCCAATCATTATCTATATGTGTGGCAATGATTTGTGTTATTTACCCTTTGTTTATTTTTCTAATGTATAGCCATGGGGTAGCATCTCTGTCAAGCCCACCACTTTTTGGTCCAGTGTCTCTTTGAAACAGATTAAAGTAGTTGTGTGTAATTTATACTTACTTGTAAGGTTATTGTAGCCACTATCTGTGAAAGCATAACTTACATAAGTGATATATTTAACAACACTAAAATCCAAAAAGAAATTTCGTTTGAAGTTAACATATTTCTTAATCCACAAATTAAATAAAATGCCAATAACTCTTTCATAACGTGACATTTTTCTTCTTCGATACTTTAGAACTCTTTCCAATGTTTCTATTCTCTTTGTTCTTTTTTTATCTTCCACATACTTCTTGAACCATTCTGGAGGTTCTTCTTTTGAATACATCTTGTCTTTTTAAATGTTGAATACCAGATGATGTTGAGGGAAAGTAATGAGAAGGAAGAGTTTTTGGGAGAATCATCTGTATAATTTGTTGGTGAAAGCTGTTGGAGCAGACAGAACTAGGAAGAGGAGAAAACAGCATCTGCTGGTGGAGATATATTAGTTTTATGACCATATTTTTCATCCAAAAGATGAAAATATAGCCAGGTGATGCATCATTCACTATTCTTTCTAGCCCGTCTGTTTTTCTGATAAGTTGCTACCAAATTTCTCCACTTCATATCATAATCCTCTGTGGTTAAATTATAACCTTGGTATTTCAATATCCCCTGTATTTTTACCCATATTTTGTTTTTTATTTCCTGGTTTTCCAAAATGATCAATTGCCAGTCGCCAAGAAATTAGTAATCTTATCATGGCATCTGTCCACATATCTGTAACATTGGAAATAACAAAGAAAATGTCTTCAAAAATAACTAAACTAAATTATTTATAATTTTATGGCATGTTCATTTGCTAGAAGACAGATAATAAATTGTATACTTACCTCTTTTCTTTGTATAACCAAATTATCCAACATGATCATGCAATCACATGTTTTACTATATGCAGACTTTTCATTAATCTGTCTGCTATTACAGTGTCTACAGTATCAGTGAATCGATAGTTTCTATAAGAGAAATTTACTTGTTTCATGGAAGTCACCACGTTACTTTGTTGAATACTCATTAGTCTTTCAAGTGATTGAGATTGTTGAGATCAATGGTGAACCAATACTGATATCACAGGATTCAATGGACAGCTCAACAGTCCATTTAGAAATGTCGTAATTTAATACACAAACATACCAATTTTGGTGACAATCAAGAAACCTCATGCACATTTGAGTTTGCGTGAAAGAAGCATACAATGTAGGCTACAAAGTCTTCCATGTGCATATGATGTAATCTTTGTAATTTCAGCAGTGGCTTTACTTTACTAGAATGATGAAACAAAGCTGTTAAATAGATTTTCATAANAGTCCATTAAGAAATGTCGTTTCTCACCATTTAATACAGAAACATACCAATTTTGGTGACAATCAAGAAACCTCATGCACATTTTAGTTTGCATGAAAGAAGCATACACTGTAGGCTACAAAGTCTTCCTTGTGCATATGATGTAATCTTTGTCATTTCAGCAGTGGCTTTACTTTGCTAGAATGATGAAACAAAGCTGTTAAATTGATTTTCATAATGTAAAAATATAAATAATTTTATTGAAATTATAAAAATTCTGTACAGTACATATCACAATGGCAAATCCATTCTCTATAGAGTCCCCGGTTTCATTTATACTGTATATTAAATTTCTGCCACATACACAATAAAAGAATTCAGGGGTGTTCACATAATTTTTTTTTTGAAATTCTTACTTCCCCTCCTGTCCCAGTTTGTCCAAATTTCCAAAACCTCCTCCCCTTTTCAGACGTCCAACAAAACTTGACCCTCCCCTTAAAACCTTTCTACTTGTGGTATCTATCATTCATAAAGTGATAAACAAAACATATATTTATTTCAAAATTTTTTGTAAGTACAGTGGGTGATTGATTAACGAACACTTTCGCGAAAGATTTTTATGATTGGACAACAAACACTTCATTCAGTGCCGGCCCGAGGCAAGTTTTAGGATTGAGCGAGATCCTATTATGGCACCCCTTTGGTTGCCTTTAATTTATACCCTGTAATTTTCTTTACCACTGAGGCGCCCCCTAAGACTAAGCGCCTGGATCGGCTGCTCCGTTCGCCCTATGGTACTGAACAAACATAAAAAGAAGTGACAGAAAATAATGAATACTGTACTGATTGATTTTCCCTTGTCTTCAGGTAACAATTCAAAACCTTTCAGAGTGTGGGAGATGTCAACATAATTGCTCAACCCGATACTGATAAGATAGTATCCCTGCGAATTTTGAAACTCTCCCTTGTAATTCCAGCTTTATGTTTACCTTTCTGACAATAATTTTTTATCGTATTCGCAAGACTGTCAGACAGGCACGTTAAGTTTTGCGTCGGGGTTTATTTAACTGTTCCATCAGATATTCGTTAACATTTTAATACCAAATTTTGAATTTCATCCGAGCATTGCATTTAAATAATTTTTTGTGGGCTAGTTGATGTCTGTTCTCTGAATTTTTGTAAGTGCTTTTCTGAACATTTTATTTAAAAAAGAAACTGATAATATTATGGAGTCTAAAAAGAGGAGTGTCAAGAACTGTGCTTACCATAGAAACCAAGTAAGAGATAATAGCCAAGGTAGAAAGTAGGCACAAGACCTCTGATGTTGCTAGGCAGTATGGCTTGAACAGGTCTACAGTAGGCACAATCTTAGCTATGTAAGATATATCAAGAAGTCTCAAGCTGCTAATGGAGTAATGAAAATAAAGAGCATTTTAGAGCTCATAATAGAACCTGAAACTGATCTGAAAACAGAACTCCAGGGATGTCAGAACAACAATCATCCAAGTGGCATTCAAACTAGAATAAGGTTAATGGGGTTGGATCCCCAACCCCATTAACCTTATAAATGTAATTGGATCTCTACAATTACAATACTATTAATTACTTCTGAAAATTCCTGAAGAAAAGAGAAAAGTAATCGACATTGGACAGATTCTATAACTCCCCACAAAC